CCCCAAAACCCCAAAACCCCAAAACCCCAAAACCCCGTATCATTCAATCTTAGTTGACTTAATATAATAAATTGCCACCATATATAAATGTTCTCAAAACAGTCCTTTACCATTGGTCTCAAAGCCTACAACTGTTTTGTCACCAAATCTGGAGTCACATTGGGAGTCAACAAGTCTCTCATATCGCTCCCAGTAAGGTTCTTTGCTCGGAAGTCAAAAACTTCTACAATCTACAAAGCAACTGCCCAGCCCAAACCTCAAGACGCGATCAAGCCAAGTCGACTCCAGAAAGAAAGCCTAGGAGACGAAGCCAAAGAAGTGTCAAGGCAGCGAGTTCCTGGATATCTGCCTGACGAGATCAAGTTCCAGCGACACATGGAGACTGACTTTACAGCCGAGAAAGAAATGCAAGACGAAGTCGAGCGGATCCAGAGTAACATCTCCATAATCTTTAGAAAAAGCCAAGACTAAGGCTCTAGCTGAAATTGTCATGGACAAAGATGTCGACAAGTTTGTGACCCAGGACTTCGACAGGTTCGACCAGAATTATGTCGATCATTACAACGAAGCGGAAAGTAAGTCGCTTTGATGGTGACATTGTCCCAAAATGACACTCCTGTTTAGTCCAGAAGACTGTCAAAATTATGAACGATGAGGAGTTCGGCAGAAATGCACCCAAGAAGTTTGAAATTGACTCATTTGCAAAGCCAGAAAGACTGTCTAAACGACTTTCGAGGCTTGGAATCTGATCAAGACGGCAAGCTGAAAGAATGATCCAGCAAGGAATTGTCAAAGTTGATGGCCAACTCATCGACCAGAATGTCCCTGTCTCAGAACATCAGTAAGGACTCAGTTAATTCGATTAGAAAAATCCAAATTGGAACAAATAAGCCATTCTTGATTCCTCACAAACCTGACACAAGAATCTGGCTTTATCACAAGCCAAGAAAGCTAATTTGTACAAGATGGGACCCTGAAAAGAGGCCCACGGTTTTCCAGCAACTATCCCTTCTGGGACTCAAGATTCCTCACATCATTGCAGTCGGGAGACTCGATTTCTTGTCCGAAGGGCTGATGGTTCTTACAAACGATGGAGACTTAGCCAGGGCTCTAGAGCTGCCTTCCAGCGAGATTGAAAGAACTTACAGAGTCAGAGTGTTCGGAAGAAGGTTCGATGAAAAGAAGCTTGACCAACTCAGAAGAGGCTTCAAAATCAAAGGCAGAAAATATGGGCCCTATGTCACAGAAATCATCAAGAGACAGACTTCAAATACTTGGCTTCACATGAAACTTTACGAAGGGAAAAACAATGAAATCAGAAGAGTCATGAGAAAGTTCAGCCTCAGAGTTAACAGACTGATCAGACAATCTTACGGACAGTACACACTAGGACTCGTTCCTAACCCAAATGATTTAGCAGAAGTAAGGATGACCAAGCAAATCAAAACTCTGTTGTTCAAGTACTACAAAGAAAAGGCGCAAGAAAGCCAAGAGAGATATCATAAAGAAAGGACAGAACATTTGTATCTCCAAACACAGAAGCAGGAAGCTCTGGAAGCTGAGCAAGAAACCAAGCAGAAGAAGCTGAGTGAAGCATATGTGGATCTGAGCCAGACTCCAAGCGACAAGCCTCTCGGACTCGGTGAGAGATTATTAAGAGGAGGAAAGTAATTTCAATAATATACAAAATCTAGGGGTTTTGGGGTTTTGGGGTTTTGGGGTTTTGGGG